ATATTACAGACATAAAACCTATATTTCCTACTGGGACAGAGAAGCTTTTTCATATGCACTATTTTTAAAACCTGACTCTAAATTAAAGAAATAGAAAATGGCACTGCTATTCACAAAACAAATAATGGATTCCTTGTTTCCATAATAAACTTTTAAGAGAGTCTGTTCCTAATGGAAACTCATTGTTACTAAATAAAAATCTTCTTGGGGAGGAAAATAGTACCTTATATACAATCTACATTGGGGATGCAAATTGTAGAAAAACAGACACCAGAGGATTTGCATTTAATCAAATCTAAAGCAAGTCATTTCAGAAGCATCACTACCATGTACAGGAGCCTTTCCCATTAGGATCAGGCTGACCTTGCCAGAGTCTGGGATCCCGTATCAAGGAGAACACGACATTCACCAGATAGCCTACATTGCCGCTCAGAAGGGAATTCACCAGAACCATCCAGAATGGAAAGTGGTGAGTCGATGTCAATTATTGCAATGCTTTATTTAAAGAAAACCTTAATGTGCTCGCTTCGGCAGCACACATACTAAAAAAAAAAAAAAATACTTAATAATCCTAATGTTTATTTCTGACATCCCAAAGTCATAATGCAAAGCAACAGACAAGAAGAAATACCCTGAAACTCTGGCTAAAACATATAAAACTGTTTTTAAAAAACCACACAGACAAGAGACCAACAATTTAGAATGCTTGGTGACAGTTTCATAATTTCTAGTCACATTTAATTACTAGTTGTCAGGTTTACTTCTGCTGCCTAGAGGTTAGGCAGGTATTTATTTTAGAAGATCAACTCTACTGAACATTATTTTTATAAAATGGAGACAGGTATTCCAGCCTTCCTTTCCAGTATAGCAAAATGTTGTGTTAAATGAAATAACTTCTGGTAAGCTCTCAGTGGTAAGGAAAGTGTAGGAGGAGAATCCACATCTATATAGAATTTGAAATATCTTTTACTCATGCATCCTGTTTCAGGTTTTTAGTCTAAGGATGAAGGACTTCCCACATGCGTGTGATAAGGAAGAGCCTAAACTGCCATTTCATGATTTCAAACTGTCTATAGATCTTTCCCAATTTGTTCACTCTGAGGATACAGATGTTAGTGTCAGCATAGAGTAAAACCCATCTGTTTGGGAACAAATTTGAGATGAAAATAGAATTTTAAGTGTTAATAAATAATGCCAGAGTATTTCAAAAATGCCTTGTAAAGTGCCTTGAAAGAAAAATTAATATTTTTTAAATGCCCCCACTCTTCAAAGTCTGATCTCAAAAAATAAGATGATAGAGTCATCACATAAGAGCCTCTACATACTGCAGCATGAAATTGGTGATTGACCAAAGTGCTGAGTTTTGGATCAGCTGTGAGACTTCGGGTGGGAGGAGGGTAGCCAGGGGGAAGGGCTGTGGGTGCCTGCAGGGTGGGCGAACCAAACTCCTAATTTGGCCTCACTTAAAAACTTTCCATCTTTCTTTCCAGATTAAGCCTTCAAAAATAATACAAATTATTTCTGCTTAGTAATTAATATTTGCGCATGCTATTATTGATTGCGGAATATGCCTTTCCTTGTATTCTCCTGGAAGTTTCCCATAATAAAACTAACATGACATCAAGTCGGCAGATTAGAAGTGGAAGCACAAACACCAAGTCTCTAATGTGTGTAAAGCTACCACTTTTTATCCCTCCGTGGTTATCTGCCTCCCTTTGGTGAGGGCTTTCTCATCCTCAGCAAGGCAGGCTGAGCTGGTTAGGTTCATGGGGCAGAGAGGGAGGCACTTGAGCCAGAGGGTGGGCAGGCACCCCGTATTGATACCAGACCATTCAGTACCTCATTCTGGGTACTTCCCTTGACGGGCAGAGAAATGGAACAAATGTGGACTCTATCCACCAATAATCCATCATTCCGGAGTTTTATTCTAATCTGTCTTGAGTGGGAATGTGCCCATCCATACTAGGAGGGACTACCTTTCAGAGAGACGTCATCTATCATCTTAATTTTTCCATTGTCAAATGTACAACTCAAAATATTTTTGTTGTATTTTTGAATTGCTCTTTCCTAAAGTTATGGGATCGTTTTCTGTTTTATCCTTTCTTTGTTTCAAACTGTCTCTATTCCTTTTTTTTTTCTATTCCTTTACTTTAGAGAGCAAGCACCTGTTTAGAGAAAGCAAGGAAACAGATCCCAGAGAGTATCATCAAAAATAGTAAAATAAGAAAGGGCTTCAAATAAGCACCATAATGTATTTGATATTTAATAACTAAAAATAGTTTATGAACCACCTACATTTCAAATATTCAATTTCAGAATACATGCAGAAAATGTTTAATTTTCAAAAACAATATAAAGCAACAGCACCCCTAAGAATACTATGGGCCACATTCTTTTTTTTTGTTTTTGTTTTGTTTTTTGTTTGTTTTTATTATATATTTTTTAATAATAAATTTATTTTTTTATTGGTGTTCAATTTGCCAACATACAGAATAACACCCAGTGCTCATCCCGTCAAGTGCCCCACTCAGTGCCACATTCTTTATCAAAATAAATAGCAGTAAGGAGAGGACGTGACTGAGACAATTGGCGGCATGTGCATAATCACAATACGGAAAAAAAAATATAAAATAAATAAAAAATAAAAAAAAAAAAAAAACAATACGGAAGTATAACATTTTTTTTTTCCAAATTCTAAAGGATAAGTTGATTCTCCTTAATAAATTTGCTTGTGCTTTCTCTCCGGAAACACAGATCTTTGTTTTCGCAACAACTGATCTGAATGCAAGTTCGTATCCAGAGTATTTGAATAAAAACTCTTAAGCATCTCCTGGTTTCTGCAGGTGTGGATTCTTTAAATAGACACAATGCACCAGAGGAAAGAAATGTTTGGGAAAAGGAATACTGATAGAATTTTTAACTCCTCCCTAAGTAAGGAGCGCAGGACAGGTTTAAGGAACTTTAAGAATTTTCAAAACATGGAGAATACTCTGGGCTATAGTTTAAAGCAATTGTACCAAGTTCCATTGCTTAATTAAATTTTATTTGAATTCACTTTTTGTGCTGTGTCAGATGAAGTATTTGCTTTTTTGTAGCACTGCTTCAGAGCAGCCTTCAGTCCCCATGAAGCCCTAGAGAAAGGATCTCATCCACTCCTCTTAGAAAATGCTGTCTCCCACATTCTGAAAATCTTCACCTTTCCAAACCCTACGGTCTTTCTGTGCCTTCATTTTCCTGTAAGTCATTTTGCTTCCTCCCCAAATATTTATCGAGCATGTACTAGGTGCCAGATTCTGACAACACCGATTATTCCTTTCTCTACTTCTGTTTTGCACTTCCTTGATTCTAAAGCTCTGCTGTGTTACAAACCTCCATTTCTGACCTCTCGTCCCCGCTCCCACCCGCCCTGCCCCTGCCTTCCCCTGGGAATCAGAACTGGTGGCTTCCAAGGCTCCGTGCTTGATGTCTACTCTTCTACTGCTACAAAATTCCTCAAAGAATTTTATTTTTGTCATTTTAATTATTCTAGTCGTGAAGGTGTTTCTTAGAAGTGCTACTCAGAGCCCCCATCTTATCTGTAGGATATTTTAGTTTGATGATGCCCCCACAACCTCAAAGTCAACATGTTCAAAACTGAACTCTTATTTCCCCATGAAAACTTCCCTGTCTCCTTGTTTTTTCCTCTTAATCCTGGTGGTCTTTTTTTTTATTGTGCATTTGCATGTGTGTGTGTGTGTGTGTGTGTGTGTGTTTTCTTTTGAGAATCTTTTTAAATCTGTGCTTTTCTTGTCATTTCCACTGTTTTTGGTTAGCCTCTGTTTTACCTTTCTCCATCCTTCCTGCTTCCTCATCTTCAATCCATCCTAGGCTTCATCCTCAGACTAATCTTCCATAACAGTATTCTGTATCTTCCCCCAAGATGTCAAAGTCACAATACTCTCCTGCTCAAAAGGTTTAGTCGTTTGCATCACCTACAACATAAATTATAATTTTTTATACTCTGGTTTTCAAGACTTTCAGCATGTCCATTAATCTTAACCATGCCCTTCCCCCTACCCCACCAAAAGGATGCTTTCAACAAATAATTACAAAAGTCTACTGTATTTCAAGTATCATTCTAGGCATTGGCACTTGAGATGTTTCACTGAGTAAAAACAGGCAAATATTCCCACCCTCATAGAGCTTCCATTCTAGCAAGTAAGCAATAAAAGTTAGTAAATAAAGAAATTATATGTCATTATAAAGTGAGAAATGCTATGTAGAAAGGAAAAGTAACATGGAGTGAGAGAGATTAGGAATATTTTATGGGAAAGATTCAACTTAAATATGTTCTCATTAGAAAGATGACATTTGAGCCAAGACGTGAAGGGGACAAGGGCACATAGCCATGTGGATAACGGGGGGAAGAATAATCCAGATAGAGTGGACAGCCGACGCAAAGGTCCTGAGGCAGAATGATGGGCTTTGTGCATTTCAGAGACAGGCGGGAGTACAGAGAGCAAGGGGAGAGTTATGGAGGGGAGATCAGCAGTATCAGGGAACAAGTTTCCCTAGGGCAATTCTAGGAACTCTGGCTTTTACTCTGAATTAAATGGGGAGCCATTGTATGGTTCTGGGGGGAGAAGTGACACAATTGTGCTTTCTTTTCTAAAGCATCACTCTGGCTTCTGGGCTGACAATAGACCAGGACTGGGGGTAAAGGGTCCTGAGGCTGCTGCAGTAATCTACGTGCCAGATGATGAGAGATTAAACCCAGATATTAATAGCAGGGAGGTGGGAGAAAAGTCAGCAGCTCCTGGATCTCTTTTGTAGATAGCCCCATCATGAATTCCTAAAGGACATTTATGAAGTAGGACAGAAAGAGAAGAACCCAGGATGATAGGATGATGCCTATAGCTTTGGGACCAAGCACCTAGAAGGCTGGAGATGCCGCCTACTGAGATAAGGGAGGGTTCCAGATAAAGCAGAGGTGGAGGGGAGAATGGAATGTAGGTTTGAACATGCGGAGTTTGCAATGTCTACTGGACATCCGAGTGAAGATGGATAATCAAGACTACAGCCCGGCTGGGATAGGTCTGGGCTAAATGATATCTGTTTGAAATTTATCTACATGGAGATGCCATTATAAACCCATTAATTCCCATTATCGTTCCTTACCCTTTCCACATGTGCCTTGCTCCTTCCTGTCTCTGTGTTTGTTCATGCCAGGCCTGATGCCCGCAAGACCTTGTCCCTACTCCTAACCCATCCACATCCTTGTGAGTCCAACCTGAATCACATCCCTTCCCACAAAACTGTCACCGACCACCCAAAGCGTGCTCTTCCCCACCCTCCCCTTTCACATGTGAATATCTCATTTCTTTTGCTGAAATGGGATCTCTTTGAGGACATCTGCTATACGTTCTAGACTTATTTTGCATCCCCTGTAGCATTTGGCCGGTACTTTGCACTAAGTCAGTGCCAAGTCGTACATAAGACTGATTGTTTATGACAAAACTTCAGAGTTTTGATCTGGTTATTTGCCATCTCGTGAACTTTATCCCTCTAGTAATTACCATGTGGTTACTTGTTAAACTTATTTAAAAGAGGTGTATTTCTTCTAGGCTTTTTGGCATACACATAAAGCACAAATTGATGAGAATCAGACTGAAATCATCAATTAAAAAGCGCTTCAGGAAAAAGTGAAGCCAAGACTGTCTGCAGACAGACAAGGGATCCAGGCCGGACCTTGTCTGTTCCCACCCCTCCCTCTTTCTCAGACCTGCATCCACTCCATCAATCACCAGATGTTCCCCTTTTCATTCAGCCAGGAACCCCCAGGTTAGAGTTGGCCCCCACCTGAACAGGAACCCTATAAAGTCCTCACTGTTATGTATACCTGTGGTTCTCAAACTTCAGAAAACATCAGAATCACCTGGAGGGCTTATTAAAATATGGCTTGCTGAACCCCAGTCCCAAAGATTCTGATTCAGTACATCTGGCGTAGGGTGTGAGAATCAGCATGTCTAGCAAGTTCCTAGCAAAACTGGTGCTGCTGGTCCGGGAATCAGACTTTGAGGATCCCTGGAGTGCTCTGGATCACTCTGACCTGTGTATCTGGCTTTGCCCCCTGTCTTGTCTTGTCTCCTACTCCAGGCTGTTCTGGGTGCACTAGAGCTGTTCCAGCCACCGACCAGGTCACCTGGCCTGGTCACCATTCTTCTCTGGCCCTTCCTCATCCTAGTCTCAGGGCTTGAGAGCCAACTTATGACCTGGCCTCCAATTTCTTGCTTCCTCTTCAACCTTCTTCCATCAATCTCTCCTCTTTTCCTAAATCTTTAATCCCTTCCTCTGATCTGTTCAAATATCCTCAAATCTCAGTCACCTGTAAGTATATAGATAGAAAAATATAAGCAAACCTCTCCTTGACCCTGTACTCTCTCCAGTTATCATCCAACTCCTGCTTCCCTTTCTCATTCAGATATCAAGAAGAAACTTCCATCCCTGGGTTGGCCCTTGGCATTATGGTCTGGCTTCTAGCTATACTTCCAAAGCTTCTCTTGCTAAGGTTGACATCAACCACTGAATTGAAAGCCGTGGATGCTCTGCCATCCTTATCTTCCTGGACCATTCTCTCCTGCCTTTCTTACTTTTCCCTTTTTCTTAGGGAAAAAAAATCTTTCAAAAAAATTTATTTATTTATTCAGGAGAGGCATAAAGAGAGAGGCAGAAACATAGGCAGAGGGAGAAGTAGGCTCCCTGCTGGGAGCCCGATGTGGGATTCAATCCCAGGACCCCAGGTTCACGCCCTGAGCTGAAGGCAGATGCTCAAACACCGAGCCACCTAGGTGCCCCCATACTTTTCCCTTCTTTCTTGAAGTCTCTTCCCCCAAATTCTGTGGATGCCTTACTCCCCTGGTTTTGCCCCATTCTTCTCCCAACTATTCTTCATTATCTTCTTCATTTCTCTCTTCCTCCTCTGACAATGCTTCAAATGTGGACTTTCCCCAGGCTTCTACTTGTAACTATTTTCTCCAGAAATTCCCAACCAGTGTGTCAAGAGCTGGCATCATAGGAGTTTCCAAGATACTGATACTTTGGGGCCATGGGAGTAGCCTGACCTGCTTATCCTGGTGTGCCCGACACATGGTATTGTTTCTATGTGTGATGTCACATGACCCTACCTTTCAAACACTCCCCCAGGCAATTCCATCCTCTTTCCTCGTTTCATTACCACCACCACATTTTGATGGCTCCAAAATTATGTACCCAGACGAATCCCATGAGGAAAACGGGAATCACCTTTGAATCTTCCCTCTTCTTTCTCTCCCATACCTAAATAATTTTCAAATGTCTGCTCCTTGCCCTCCTGTCTACCACTACTGGCAACCCCTTACCTCTTGGAAAGGTCTAGTGGCTTAGTTGGCTAAGCATCTGACTCTTGATATCAGCTCAAGTCATGATCTCAGGGTTGTGAGACTGAGCTCCAAGTTGGGCTTTGCACTCAGCATGGAGTCAGCTTAAGATTCTCTCTCTCCCTTTCTGTCTTCTCCCTCCTGTCCCTCTCTAAAAATAAAAACAAAAACAAACCAAAAACAACCACAAAAAAACCCAAACCTATTCTCTTTTACCTGAATTCTTCTAGAACTCTCCTGACTGATCTCCCTGTGGCTTTGTAATTCTTTTTTTTTTTTTTTTAAGATTTTATTTACTTATTCATGAGAGACACAGAGAGAGAGAAACGCAGAGACACAGGCAGAGGAAGAAGCAGGCTCCATGCAGGGAGCCCAGCGTGGGACTGGATCCCCGGGCTCCAGGATCACACCCTGGGCAGAAGGCGGCGCTAAACCACTGAGCCACCCGGGCTGCCCTGGCTTTGTGATTCTTAAATCCACCCTCTACATAGCTGCTAGAAAAGTCTATCTAAAATGCAAATCTAACCATATTGCTACCTTGCTTAAAAGCTTCCAATGACTCATTGTCCACAGAATGAAGTCCAAACTCCTTTGCCCACCAGAAACTTCATGACAGAGCTTATTCATTTCATCTTCCAGTCTCACTTCCTCCCTCACACACCTCACTCTGTTCCTGCCTCCTGGACTTTGCCCCTGAGGTCCTCGATGCTGGAATGTTCTTGCCCACTTTATCATCACCACATGGCCCACCCTCCAGCTTGGATTCCCCTGACCTCCCCCGCCCTCCCCACCCTCACAAGGAGTTGACACATCTATGCTTCTCAGAATATCCTAGTCAGAATTCTGTTGTCGCACTTAGCACCTTTGCATTAAAATTACCGTCTAAGTGTCTCTCTCCTACCACTAGATAGCAAATTATATGGTATCCCCAGTCCTGACATGGTGCCTGACACATTGAAAATGCTTCGATAAATCATTGATGAGTAAATGTGGCCCTACGCTTTTCCAAAAATGAAGGCATCGCGTATATTCTAGAAGGGGCACCTAGATTCCTTTGGAACAAACATAACATCATCAAGCTTTAAGTTGGAAGTTGAGGGGATCCCTGGGTGGCTCAGTGGTTTAGTACCTGCCTTTGGCCTGGGTCGTGATCCTAGAGTCTCGGGATCAAGTCCCACATCAGGGTCCCCACATGGAGCCTGTTTCTGCGCACCCCCCCCCAATCTATCATGAATAAATAAAATATTTTTAAAAATTTGGAAGTTGATTTAAAATAAATACTTCTAGCTTCTTTAATTAAAAGATATATAAAGCAAAATTAGAACCTCCCAAACATAGACTCAAAGGACCGTTCAAATAATTTTATTTTCCTGAAATCAGGTTTGTGTGTCCCTTCATTTGAACTAAATTATACACTGCCTTGGAACCTAGATTTTTTTTCTCCTTCATTTTGTACACACATTTTATGTAAAACTTGGTAGTTCAGCATATTTTTATATGCCTATCTTATAAAATGCCACAGAGAGATTTTACAAAGAAACTGGAGCTAAGAAGCTGCGATCATCTCCAGTCAGGGACCAGAGTAACATGTGATCATGGAGGTCCTGCTTACTGGGCCAGTAGCCTCTTCCACCCCATGGGCCACTTGACCTTCACTTTGGGTTGTGGTTCTTTCCTTTCTTCCTTCCTTTTATTCTCTTTGTAATGAGATTTGACTCATAAGTCAAGTAGGTCCTAGACTATCTACAAATTTAACCAGATTAGAGAGTGTTTTGGGTGATAAGCTTACACATATACATGGGGGTTCCTTTTGCCATGCACATGGATGCCGAATTCCGTGCCAGCTGAAATTGCTAGTAAGCCAGCAATGACTCAATAAAAAGGAATTGAAACCATCCAACGTACTTCAGAACAATGATTTCAGATTTAGAAAATATCTTATAGTTCCTACAGTTCTACTACTATTTGGTGCTTGAATGCTTCTATACTTGTTCAAAAAGAATGTCCTCCTGTCATTGCCTGACCTTCCATGGTGACAAGGAACTCACTATCTCTAGAAGCAGTGTTGCCAATTTCAGAATTATTTCAGAGAAGTATTTTTCTCTATCTGTTATTTCTCTGTAATTTCCTCATGGTAAAAATAGCAAGCTTTTCCAGTTGTGAGAGCTACAGTCCTTAAGTCTGGATCCCAGCTCCATTGCTTAATCAGCAGCTTCAAGACATTGGCAAATAACTTAGTCCCAGATCTCAGTCTCTTCATTTGTAAAATGGATCAAATGAAGTAATACAGTTTAATTAGCGAGCACAATAATATGTTTGGTAAGTGCTCAACAAATACCTGTTAAATGAATGAATGACTCTTTTCTTATCCTTGGCTTAGTTTCTTTTCTTTTTTCTTTCTTTCTTTTTTTAAGATTTTAATTTATTTATTCATGAGAGACACAGAGATAGGCAGAGACACAGGCATAGGGAGAAGCAGGCTCCACGCAGGGAGCCCAACATGGGACTCAATCCCAGATCTCCAGGATCATGCCCTGGGCCTAAGGCAGGCACTAAACCACTGAGCCACCCAGGCTGCCCCCTTGGCCTAGTTTCAAAGCAGCAACTTCCCATGTCGAAAGACTGTGTTTTCAATAAGAAAAACTGCTTAATTTGGTGCAGTAAACAGAAACAGATGGCTTTCTTCCTAAGAATATAATCTTAAAGCAGTCCAGTTGACCAGCTCACCCACATCAAGTAAGAGGAATATGATATGGCAAGAATGCTGTCACTCTGCAAACTGAATCATGCAAATCTAACTTTTGCATCAGATAGTAAGAAGCATTATTTCAAGGTGCATCCGATTCCTGATCTTGTGACTAAAGCATAAATTTTAAGCCTTCCTGGAAGAAATCTTGACAAATCAGAGTACAAAAAAGAGGACACTCTGAAGAGCTATTGTATAGAAGATGGAATAGTGGGGGGTGAGGGGGAGAGGTTTCCACATAAGCAGAGCTCGGATGAGTTTCTGTTAAAGGCAAGAAGACTAAGTGGCCTCTATTGAAGCCACTTCAAATTTAAGAAGTCTATAATTTTAATGAGCAAACAGCATCACAATGACAAGCCCTTGAATACATCCCCAGGGAGGTTAACCTATCACTCCATCCACATTTGATCATTACTTCTATTTGCTTAAGTCCCAGGAGACTACAGCAAACGAGTGTATCAAGGCGTGCGAGTGAAGCATACAGTCAAAGATCTACTGGCAGAAAAACGATCCAGGCAGACAAGTAACTCAAGATTTAACGTAAGTCTCAATTTAATTCTAAGTCCTCTTTTAATGTTAGTTATTCCTCCTCTCCCTTGACACCAAGTCTCACTTCTTGAGTCTGATATTCTCGATAGCAAAGCCCTCCTTGACCTGGCACACACTTATAATTACTACCATTAATATCATGGTACAGGTGTCAATCTGTGAGTAAGCCCTTCAAGAACTCTGTGAACTTATTGGCTACCTCAGCTAATGGCAATAAAAGGATGCTATGTCCTGACTTTTCCATTGCTCCCAGTCATAAATTAACAAAAGCTCAGCTGGTGAGGATAATGTTAACCATCATCAATGTATTATTCTAAATTTGTTAGAGACAACTTTAAAAAATCCTCTCTATAGCATGCAAAGTTGGATTGAAATAGCCTAGTAAGAGATGTCTTCTGTCTGAAACCTCTGTCTACCATCCATATCTTCATAAATAGCTCCGCCCTGTGCTTAAAATGTTTAAGTAGTTGCACCCAGAGCTCCAAAAGTGATTCTGGAGTAGGAGTAGTGGTTGGTTGGCTATCAAGATGGGTTTGTGATCACTTAGTCTATTGGTAAAATGTGACAACATGAATGTCAGGCGTCTGTTGTGCATTGCTGGATGTGGGACACAAAAGCAAATGTGGTAACTATGTACAGCCTAGCATGGCGGCTGGCACACTGGTTCTTCCAGTGGGGCTGTTCAGAATATCAGGACTGTGTTCAACACCATTCCAGGATCAAACTTCTGAGACATGTTTCAAGTGAACCAACTCCAGATTCTAGGTCCTCCCATCCAAGAACTTTGATTGCACATCTGTCTTCCTTTATTTTAAAGTGCCCCCTTTCTTCTAGTTCAACAAATGGAGCTTAGTTGATCAAAATAAAATCGGAATAATTGGCTCCCTGTGTGTTCAGTGTTTCTCAGTGCCTGCTCAGTCATCGGGGGTGTGCATTACAAATTTCCATACCAGTTTAGTCTCTTGAGAGAGAGGATGGAAGGGAGGGAGGAATTCATTTTTTTAAAGATGTTATTTATTTATTAGAGAGAATGAGAGTGTGCGCAGAGGGAGGGTAGAGAGAGAAGCAGACTCTCCGCGGAGGAGGGAGCCCAATGTAGGACTCGATCCCAGGACCCCAGGATCATAACCTGAGCCAAAGGCGGATGCTTAACTGACTGAGCCACCCAGTTGCCTGAGAGAGGGAATTCAGAGTCCATTCCAAATGAACCTTCACGGAAGATAACGTGGATTGTTTGGCCACAGCTACAGCCAGAATTGTGAGACCTAACAGACATTCTCGGCATACTGTCAATTGGAAGACAGGAATCACAGTGAGAATAAAGACATAGTAAAAGAACAGATATTGGATCTGCCCAGTGTGAATGAGGTTCTAACTCATTCCTTGGCATCATCATCAATATATACACACAATGATAAGGCACAATGCCAGATAGAATTAAGAAAAAGATGAGAAAGCATAGTATTTCCAAATAGTCAATATAACTATATTCTTCTTTTTAAAATTACCTAACATATTTTGGTTAAGATCTGTGACTATCACATAATATGTTTTTATTATTTTTTTATTTATTATATATATTATATTATATTTATTTATTATTTTTATTATTTTTTTACTCTTTTGAGAGGGTGAAAAGATACAACAACATAAACATAATAAACCATATTGTTTGATTTTATTTTAAAGTGCAGATGCCTGATCTCTGTTCCATGTCTATTAACATAGAGATTTTGGACTGGAGCCACAGAATGGTCATTTTTAACCTGCACTTGGGTGATTCCTTTGCACATCAGAGTTTGAGAACTTGACTCTAGAGCAAAGAGCAGGGGTTCAAGCCTCACACAGTCAACGTTCTCATATCTACCCAGATTATAATTTGTCGAGTTATTTCTGTTGGCCCAGTGACACTGACAGTGTTACAGTGAAAGTGGATACAAGAAACATATAATACATAGTCTATGCCATTAAATGCCAAATAATGTAGTGGAAAAGAATAAGATTTATACATTTAAAAAATACAAGCCCACATAACCAAGCACTAGACTAAAGACGAAAGACCAGGTGGCATGTGATATGCCATGTGATATGAAGACTACAATACTATTTACATAAAGACAGTTTAAAGCACACTTCCTTGTGTGTTGTCTCATTGGATGGACATACAAATCCTGTAAAATTCATATTTACATGGTTTCCCATTCCACAGATGGAAACATGGAGAAGATGCAGGAAGTGATTGTTCTCAGGTTGCACAGTTAGCAGGTAGCAAATCTTCTGGCTCCCAACTCAATATTCCTTTAAAAGGGACAGATCTATGTGGTCTGGGATAGAACAATCTCTGACTCACACCATCTTGGTCCATTTGGTCTTCTGTAACAAAATACCACTGACTGGGTTGCTTATAAACCTCAAACATTTATTTCTCATAGCTCTGGAGGCTGGAAGTCTAAGATCAGGGTGCCAGCATGGACAGGTTCTGGTGAGGACCTCTTCTGGGTTGCAGACAGCTGGCTTCTGACTGTGTCTTCGCATAGAGGAAGGGCCTAAGGAGCTCTCTGGGGGCTTTTTCATAAGGGTGTTGATACCATTTGTGAGGGCTACACCCTCATAACCTACTCACCTCCCAAAGTCCCACTTCTTAATAACATCACATTGGGCATTAGGATTTCAACATATGGATTTTGGAAGGACACGTTCAAGGGCCATAGCACATGAAAACAGGGAAAATCAGAAGACAGGAAAATATATCATGTGGCAAGAACTTCTAGGATAAGAAAGGTGCAAACCGGGATCCCTGGGTGGCGCAGCGGTTTGGCGCCTGCCTTTGGCTCAGGGCGCGATCCTGGAGACCCGGGATCGAATCCCATGTCGGGCTCCCGGTGCATGGAGCCTGCTTCTCCCTCTGCCTGTGTCTCTGCCTCTCTCTCTCTCTCTCTCTCTCTCTCTATCATAAATAAATAAATTTTTAAAAAATAAAAAGAATTGGCTTTAAAAAAAAAAAAAGAAAGGTGCAAACCCACCCTAACTATGGTAGTTATTCTCAGGCATCAAGTGCATAGGCAGCTTGAACTTAGCCTTGTCTATGTGGTCACGTATATTAACTGATGTCTCAACACTAGTATCTTACTCTCATCCCTACTCCAATCACCTCTTAAATTTAAGTGATTAAATGCATGTTTTCCCAAAATATGGTTATTTGGCTTAAAATACCTCCATAAATTGATTTTCCCTTTCACCTGTTAACCACTATTCTAGATTATCTGTATATCTCAGGAAAGACACAATATTCTTTGGAAGATTTATTTCTGTCCCTGTTGCAAATGCAACCTGATGAGCAGGAATCATGGAGACTCATGTTGCTGGTGGGCACTTGGGATCCTAATTGCATGGATAATACCGAGCCTACCTTCTCCTCCTCGTGCCAGTGCCGCAGGCAACAGTGAGTTGAACATCTTGAATAAGTTCAGATGGGGAAGCCATCCTTAGGCATGTTCAAACTTTGCTACTGACGGCATGGGTAATAAGCAATGAGAGGCCAGCTTGAGGCGATTGGAGGCCCTCCCATGCAGCTCTTCCATACAGAGTGGTGCCAGCCCAAGGAATGGACCCTCAAAGATCCCACATCAAAACCCTAGAACCTGTGAAGGTTCTAGGCAAAATATGTGATTCAGTTAAGGATCTTCGGAGGAGGTACCTACTCTAGATTATCCCAGGAGATATTGCCTTGCATTACTCTGAATGCAATCACATGCATCCTCATGAGAGTTTGAGAGAGAGAGAGAGACACACACACAGAGAAGACACACAAAAGAGCAAGAGGCAGAACAGTCAGGAGGCAGAGGTTGGAGGCGCACAGCCAACAAGTCAAAGAATGTGGGCAGCCACCAAAAGCTAGAAGAAGGGGATCCCTGGGTGGTACAGCGGTTTAGTGCCTGCCTTTGGCCCAGGGCGCGATCCTGGAGACCCGGGATCGAATCCCACGTCAGGCTCCCGGTGCATGGAGCCTGCTTCTCCCTCTGCCTGTGTCTCTGCCTCTCTCTCTCTCTGTGTGTGTGTGACTATCATAAATAAATAAAAAATTTAAAAAAAAAGCTAGAAGAAGCAAAGAATAGATTCTCCCTTAGAGTCCCACAGGGAGCACAGCCCTGCCAAAATGTTGTTTTGGGCTCCAGGCCCTCAGAACTGTACAGACAGACATTACAGTCTTTATAAGCCACCCAGGTTGTGGTAATTTTTTACAGCAGCCTAGGAAGCTAATACACATATATGATGAAATGTGTGTCCCTCTGGAGAAGTATCCTTTAGGAAGTGTCCATTTGATGCCCAAATTGGTGCCCCACTCTCTATGATAACACTTTGATAAGTTTACACAGGCTCTGTTAATCCATCTTCACCACAATTTCCTTCAAGAACATCTGTTTTTGATACCATGAAATGTTTTTCACATCATTGCAGTAGGAAAGAAAAGGAGAGAAATCCCTTTCACCAAAGACTGGACTTAAAACCGCTTTTATACGTCCTAGCCATGAGCCTGTGGTTTCACACTATTACTGTGGACATCTGGTTTTAAATAATGGTTTTTCTCTTGCCTTCTCAGTTTTTTCTGTGTTATTCTTTACTACATTACTTGTCTTCTATCAGAATATTTAAAATATGAGCCATTCACCCACATCTAGTACCAAAAAATATATATAATTAGACTTTTGATGTAGGCTTTTATTGCTTGTTTTTTTCAATTACACGATTTCAATTGAGTTTCATAAAAGCAAATCATTGAAAAATTTTAATAACCTCGCAAAATTCAGTGAACTCTCAGTTATCTATTGTAAAGAACAAAAAGGGATAACAAGAGGAAGCAGTAAGTCTAATAGCCACAATTTTTCATTTTGCTTTCAAATTCAGTGAATGATTTGCAGGCTCTTGAGCTTTCTAATCAAGTTTTTCCTAAGCTATCATAAAAATTCGTTTAAAATCATTGAGTACACAAC